TCATCTCTTTGAAGTGAGTTTTTTACTTTCGACGTGCACTGTTTAGCAAATTTCTTCGTAACAATACGTCTGAAACGATTAGTTTTTTCAATTAAGCGTACTCTTTCTTGTTTTTTACCCTTTTGACAAAGGTCCGATTTAGTCCAACTTTTTAACATAGATATTTCAGAGTCTATCTCAGATTTTAAATTTTTTTTGGATATTTTGTGAAGGAAAGCATATTTTTTGAAATAAAATTAGAATTTGAGATAGGTTCTGAACTATGTAACGGATGACGCAGAATGAATGGTGGCCTTGGTATTTTTCTCGTGTTTCTTTGGGACCCTAAGGTTAGTGTTTTTTTTTTAAAAGATGCGCCGCGATATACTCTACAAAACCATACTTAAACTTTAACTTCAGAACTTCAATCAGGAAAACTAAACAAATTATACGAAAGGCGAAAATAATGAAAAATAAATTTGGTATTTATTTCGGCTTGAACTTTTTTCTTTTGCTATGTTTCCATAAAAAAGTGTAGCAAAAGTGAGAACGCAGTTCTTTTTGTACTTTTGAACGTACTCTCTCTCGAAATCTGGAAATTTTTTTTTAGAGCAGATGGTGTGCTGGAGAATGAAGTTGTAAAAATACGTCGGAATTGACAGCCCTGTCATTGTGTTTCCAACGATGTGCCCAAGCAAGAGATGGAAAACATGATCGAAGTTTTGATTTTTCAGTTAAGTGGAGAAGAGCAATCATTTCAGATCAAAACAAAACAAATCCAGTCGAAAAAGCTTTTGTTTTGATGGAGTTATGGGAGTTTTACTGAAAGTACACTATAGTCAGAATTTATATGCTCTTTCTCGCGGTCTATAAAAATCTTTTTTTAGAGCATATGGTGTGCTCGAGAGCGAAGGTTCAAAAATACGTCAAAAATTGACAACCTGCTAACAACCGACAGAAAAATGATTATTTTTCCATAATGTTTTGATGTGAAAAAATGTGAAGTATAACTGAAAGATAGAGCAAAGTCAGGGCTACAAAATGACTAATTCAGTTTTTCTTACTTTCAAAACGTTAACACAAGAAATCGTTTTTGAGCTTATAACGTTTATATTTTTCACCTTTCATATAATCTGTTTAGTTTTCTTGATTGAAGTTCTGAAGTTAAAGTTTAAGTATGGTTTTGTTGAGTATGTCGCTGCGCATCTTTTAAAAAAAACACTAACCTTAGAGTCGTTAAGAAACACGAGAAAAATAGAAAATATTGAGACCACTAAATCATTCTGCGCCACCCGTTGTATTAAAAATTTGGATTCAATCGGACCGTTGCTTCTACGTTTGCCAAAAGGGCGAAAAAGAGAATTAGTGTACTTTCAAATTCGAGATACGGCAACAGATTTCCGATTGTTCTCAGGAATAGGAGAGGCTAAACATTTTTCTTTGTAGAAAGTGGCTGGCGAAAAAGGGTTTTCTAAATTTTTGGCAGAAAGTTGCTTGTAGAAAAAGATCAAAGATTTTGTGGGAAAGTCGAAAAATGTTTTTAGGGAGAGGCTAGCCCCTCTCCCTTCATCGGGAAGCCTGTACACTGTAAAGTCGGAAATTATTTATAGAAAATGCTCGGCGATTTTCAGAAAGTCCATATATGAAATCCTGGCGGATTTTCCAGATTATAGAATATCGAATTTCCTACAATGTGGAAAATCGACATCAACCGCAGCGCTAGCAACAATGCCTTTTTCTAATTTTTTCAGAAAAACGCATTGATACTAGCATTGCAGTTGGCAACCCTGATCGACATCGATTTTTCTACGTTGTTGGGAATTATTTATAGAACATCCTTACCGAATTTCCGTCTAGAAAATCCTCAAGGATTTTATATATGGACTTTTCGAAAATCAAAAAGTCGCATTATTTTCTACTTTCTAGAAAATCGCTGAAGAAGGAAGAACAATTTGAGTGAGAATGCTGATAGTCAGAGACTTGCAAAGTGAAAATGGCTAAAGATAAACTTTTTCACTGTTATTAAAACCTATTGAACTTCGAAGTTGAGTGGGGTGTATTATTTCAGCTTATTGGATGACAATATGGATCGTTTGGACAACATCGCTCGCGTGTTGAACGACTGTTATTTTATTTAAAAAATAAAGAAAATAAATGTGAATTGTTAGGATCATGTCTTTGAGTTAATAGAATCAACTACATTTTTGAAACATGCTAAATTCAGACATAAAAATGAGGAATATTAGCAAGAGTGAATCGCTTTATAATCTTAAGAAAGTTGCGGTGGCACTCGACTTTGTTTCAACCAGGCAACCCAAGAACCTTTTCAGTATCTCTTTGTGATCTTCAAGTGTTATACAACAACAATACTTCTCGAAGAATATGCTGATTTGCAAAAACTGAGAGAACTTTCCGAATCTACTAACATTTTCGATTTTAAATACTAAACGGAGCAGAGATCTGTTACAGGACAACTTGTTGCAATGAAGACTTTGATAGATGTGAAAGAAGCAAGAAAAAAATCATCGATTCAACTATTTAAAAAATCGTTTTCGAATTTCAAGAAAACTGGAAATTATTTATAGAAAATCGAAATTGATTTTCTGTAATCTGGAAAATCGAGATCAAGAATTAGAAAATCGCTGTCAATTTTTCCAACTTTTTAGAAATTCCTTATCGATTTTCTGCCAAATGAGAAAAGTCAATTTATGGAAAATCGAGCGGAGTTTAGAAAATCAACATTTTCTAAACAGTCAGAAAATCGCTGAGGATTTTATAAAAGAAAATCCATGGCGATTTTCTATAAAGTAAAAAATAATTCCAAATTACAGTGTACGGCAATGATGTAACAAAGTTCGATTTTTGGTGTAGACTTCTGTTTCTTTGAAGGATGTATTTTTCTGAAAAACTTCAAGACGTTTTTACAGTTTTTTCGAATAAAATGTTCACGATAACTCAATGAAACAAAAAATCAAAAATACAGCGTTTCTACATCATTCTTATAGTGGCTTATGATAAACTAAAGTCAACTTCTGCTTGAGCTTAGAAATCTTGTAATAATAACGTTGGGATGATCAATACTGTCCAAAAGCTGAACGCTGTTTAAAAAATAATTTCGATTTGAATCCTCTGAGATTCTGTGTCTAGAACGCTTTAGTGAAGATCATGAAGTAGAACAAAAGTATAACATAAATCTACTTTGGTAGCAGAACTGAAACGTGCAGTTAAACGAATTTGACAAGGAGTCATTTTTGAAGTTATGAATGGTGTCAGCAAACGAGTGTTGTCTTCGAAAAATGACGGAAACGCATACCTTAAATGAAACATTATGTTTTGTAGGCCATTTAACGGTAGATCTTTTGAAGCAAAAATTATGATCAACTGAAAGCAAACACCAAGAGATCCATTCTCTCTGAAACAATTTTCGATATAGAATTCTGTTAATTATCATTGTACATGAAATATTTCGCAAATTGATGAAGCATGGACAACAAATTATTGTCAAATACAGAAAAAAATCAAATAAAGAATACAACGACGAAACAGATTCTATAAAGAATACAACTATCAAGAACTATAGAATAAGCTGAATCGATATCAAACATAAATAAAACATTTGATATTCGTATCACAGACAACATACAACTAAAAATTGTCAACTTTTCCTTTCAAAAGAACATTTTATTTATACAATAGTAAAAGAATATTTGAATTTCATGAATATTCATTAACATACATATTTTGTACGTTTGGCGTAAGGCTTACATATTTATTGATTTTTACATGCTATTTTTTAGTATTGACATATTATACAATCATTTTTTTATCTTCTTCACTAGATACTAACATATATTTTAAGCTGAAAACTTTCAATTCTTTTCTCATAGTTTAAGACAAGCACTTCCTATTTTCTCTTTCGTTCTGTCGTCCATAATCTGTGTGCATCTTATTCTAATGACGTGTTTTTCAAGATTAAAATTCTTGTGTAGTATACTCTCTTGTGCTTTATGTAGATTGGAATTGAAGCCAGAGTTCCCGATCAGGGAGGGGGCTGACCCCTCCCTGAAAAATTTTTTGGACTCTGACAAGATCTCTGATATTTTTCCACCAGCAATTTCCTATCAAAACTTTCAACGACTTTTTTTCGTCAGCTACTTTCTGCAAAGCAATATTGTTTAGCTCTTTCCATCCCTAAGAATAACCGGAAAGCCTGAGCAAGGCTAAAGTGAATGGAATGTTTGTTAGAACAATGCTTCCGGTTGTGTATGACAAAGAAAATTTATTTTGCTTGATATTTCTGTACTAGCTGCTCCTATTCATCATTCATATCCATATTCTGTGTGTGTATACTTATTGTTCGGCGACTATCATTCTTTGTTTATTTGCTTTTTTAAATAGTAACATGTATATAAAAGTGTATCGCTCTACATTTCTCATCTGTCTCTCGCATGAATGAAATATGTAGATCTTTGTTTTTTTCGAGTCATACTTTGTGTTAATAATGCTGAATGAGTCGTTATTATTGTTCTATCGTTCGTTTCTTTTTTTTGCATTAGTCAAACTCAATAAGTTTGATCTAGTTTAAATTTCATAATGTCAGAGAGTACACTCGTATTAAATAGAAGGGGAACTTAAGTACTATAAATTTCTAAACATAAATGATAATAAAAGAAAACTATTCTGATATTTTGAACTTGAGAATAATAATCAAAAACTTTTTGTACACACTTAAAGTTAGTATGAACAGAGTCATTTTTCTAAGCAGAATAGAAACATAGTTTGAGATCATTTTCTAGTTTTTGAAAAAACGAAATTGTAGAAAAAACGTTAGTCTGCTTAATATATACATACATTTATGAAATAAATAAAAAGGAAATAGAAGAATGATGTAAAAGACTTTGAACAGTCCATTCAATTTTTCTCATACAAAAGAACAGAGACAGAGATAGACATAGGGTGACATATTCCAGATAAACTATTTCATTTCTAACCTTTTCTTTTATAGATAAAACAACTAAATAATGAATATTCCATTTCTTACTCGTCATCGTCAAAAACGACGACTCAGTAAATCAGTCGATAGTCTATTTTTATCTAAACCAATCACGACAAAACATCATGAACATAATAAAAAGGAACAATTGGAATACGGTTTAAGTAAGAGAAAATGTATTCTAGATATTAAATTTAAATTTATACAATATGTTAATTTTTATATTAGGTTTTATGCAAGGTTGGCGATCTTCAATGGAAGATGTACATTGTACATTGTTAAAATTAGATGACAAAGCGTGGTCTCAATGGTCATATTTTAGTATATTTGATGGTCACAATGGTCTAGATACAGCTCGAAAATGTGCCGAAGATTTTCATCGATATCTATTGAAATCATTTAATGAAATGTTGAAACACGGTGAACCAATCGATGGTCCATTAAAATCGTCACAATTAGATTTAATATTATTTCGAAAAACAATTAAACAAACTTATTTCTTCATGGATGAACAATTAAGAAAAAGTAAAACACAACATGATGAAAGTGGAGCAGTAGTTATTACTTGCCTCATTGGTAAATATTACATTTAATTTATTCTTTAATGTACTAGAGTTCTTAAATAATTGAAACAGTTAATCCTTCGTCCATTTTCATTTAAAATCAAACATATTAATTATCTAGACTTCATATTTTTCTTAGGTCCAGAAGTGATTTATTTTATGAATGTGGGTGATGCACGTGCTATTTTAGTATCAAAAACTGGTCAAGTTTTATTATCAACTCATGATCATAAAACAAGTGATCCCGATGAACAACATCGAATTGCAGAAAAAGGAGGTAGTATATGGGATAACAGGGTCGAAGGACAATTAGCAATGACAAGGGTGTGTAATTAATATAAGATCGTACAAAACTATTAGACAGTTAACTGGAAATAGTTCATCATTATCCATTATTGATGTCTAAAAATTAGTGTTTTTTTGTTATTTTATTTTAGGTCCTAGGTGATTTTTCAATGGACAAAGATTTAGTTCCACCTGATGCTGATATCAAAGAATATACGATTCATGATACAAATAATCCACTAGGTTTTATCGTATTAGCCTGTGACGGTATTTGGGATGTAATGTCGAATAAAGAATGTGCGAAATTTATTGTAGAACGAATGTCGCGTACACAAGATTTGTGTAAAATATGTGATGAAGTTTTAGAAGAATGTTTGAAGAGAGGTTCAGCTGATAATATGACCATTTATATTATTAAATTTTTATAATCTACGACGAATTTTATATTATGTTGTCAATAATGTCAACAATCAAATATCAACACGTTTTATTCAGGCTATTTTGCATTAAACTCGATTTTTATCTTTCTATCTCAAATTTTTTTAATGGTAGAAAATAAAAATCCATTCCAGTACAACTTTTTTACAGTTATATCTTTCAATAGTTTTGTAAATATTTTGTTGGTTGCAATTGTCAATACGTCTTTTGACATTTGTGAACAAATTCTACCAAGATGATCTTTTATATTTTTCGCAAATTATAGAGAAGAAAAGGATCTGATTGATATTATTTTTTTTTACATTACCTGGTGATGTGTCTGTACCACATAGATCTGTGATGTATGTGCATTCCTTCTTTCCTTCTTATATTTATGAAGTGGTTACTTTACTTAAAAATGGTATAGACTTTCTATTTTCGAGAATTTATTTTTCTTTTTTAAAAAACAGTTTTTTTTCATTCCTTGTATTTCACTTAAAACAGCTATATGTTTTTCTCAATTATTTTTCTTGGGTTTTGTAAATTTTATATCAGATTGTTAATTTATTGATTTCAAACATAATATTAGATAAATTGGTTGATCTGCAACAAGAAGCTAATATCTCATAACAACTTCTTTCGTTGAGAATATTAATATAGTCAGAGGTGTCGGAATGAGTCTGAAACTACGGGTTCTCAAGGAGAAGAACGCAAAGAAAAAATAAGTTTCTGCTAGAAAATATTCAAAATCTGTGAGTGCCAAGGCCCCCACGGTTCCGCCACCTGTGACTATGAGTTTTAATGAAAATGAAAATCCTAATTATGGTGAATCCCTTTTGTTTCTACATGGTTTTCAGAAAACGACGTCTCATCACGTTTGGATCAGCCCATATAATATGAGTCTTTCTTCTTTTTCCTTTGAATCGCGTACTAATTGACCGAATCCTGATCGAAATCAGTAATATTCTTAGATTGCATGAAAATTTTAATTTCTAATTATATTCAAGCAAAACCTGAATTCTAGTTTTAGATTCAAGTGTTGTCTAGTCACAAGCAAAAACTGGAGTACTGCACAGTGGGCATTCAGGTGGAAATTTAGAAAAAAACAGTGAGTTTACTTTTTCGTAATTTAAATAGTGTTTCATATACTTCGAGTGACGGCCGATTTAATGGCGAAAGAATTTTTATTCTACGACTTTTCCTTCTATAAAAAATTTGAAATGCAAAAACACCATATAAATGCGCTATTTTTTCGCAAAAATTTCGATTTTTATTGAAAGATAGTAAATTAGAATAAAACCAAGATCATATTCGGTAAGAACACAGTCAGATGAATACAAAATAAAAAAAATTTTGTTTTTCGAGTGAAACTTCAGAGTTTTGGAATGAATTCTTTCGAAAACGGTCTAGGCTGTAAAGACTCTCTCCGGTATTTTGAGAACGCGCAGCTTAGCGCAGGTCTGAACTAACATATTTTTATACCGAAATGTTCCTCGCGTGGCCGTGCATCTATGGTGAATGCGCAAAAGTGCGCATATTTTCCTGGAATGAGATATTGGTTTTCCAAAAACCCAGGTTTCTGAGGTAAAAACCAATTTTTTCACTTCAAATACAATTTTTCCCGAACAATATATACATATTCGGGATCAGCGTGAAAAACTGCATCTATTGACGTGTCTTCCAACTATTTTTCGTTGAAATTTGCTCAGTTTCTTTCGAAGCAGCGTTTTTTTAAGGTTTTTCTTTGATTTTGTGCGATGTTATTTTTTAAAGCAATTTCAAGCGTCAGAAAATTCTGCAAACTAGTTCTGTAGAGGTTTCCGGCTATGCTGAATCTAATGACGACATTGAAAAATTTCTGAAGCTGTTTTCTATAGCTTTTTTGGAGGCCATGTCTCTAGAAATCCTTTCAAAAACTGGATTTGGGCTATTTTTGCTATGCCAAAAGAAAGAGCACATTCGAAAACCTGTAACAAAACGACTTTTAACATATGTGTGTAAGTTGAGGCTCATGTCCGCCTGCTTTAGCCAGAAATGCCCACTGTGTACTGGCCAGGCAAATTTAAAATCTGCTCAGACGAAACTGAAATGACATTTAGTCCAGAAAAACTTTCAATTTGAGATTTGCCTACAACATGTACATCTATATATATCGAAGATTAACTTTGAGAGCATAAAACCTGTGGAAACTGCTTGTCTACGCACACTCTACGTTACGAATCCTGTAGGCGCTGAGCACCCACAAATTTTATATATTCAAAATCTTTGGGTGCGAAAGAACCCATGGCTCCCAGGATTCTACCGCCTTTGAATATACTAATATACTATACTTCTTTGAATATACTAATATACTAATATACTACCCGACATCTGTTTAAACAAGTACAAAGTGTGTACAGCACCATCCTTGTTCTTGTGACAATGCTTGTTTTCAGACTAAATTCCCTGAACCTACTGAAAACTCGCATCAGTTGAAATAATCTATTTTTGACTGATTTCACCACAGAGAAAAACATTCAGAACTATCCAAATCAAAATCTATCCAAACTACTTCAGAATATCAACATATACTCTATTTCACCATTAATGTATCCCCATGAAGTTCAGTGAACATTTTAAAAATCCATAGAAAATATTTTGATTTTTGACAAAGTTAGAAATATTGCGAAATAAGAAAATATTTTCTGGTGCTCTTTAGTATATAATTCGATTGAGCGAATATAACAGAGTGTATGTTGATATTCTGAAGTAGTTTTCATCGATTTCGACTGAGTGATGAATATTTTACTCCATGGTCGAATCAGTCAAAAATGGATTATTTCACCTAATGGGAGTTTTCAGTAGAATCGTGAATTTTGGTCTAAAAATAAAAATTGTTGTTACTTACGAAAAGATGATACCACATGTCTGCATTTGCCTTTGATCAAAAGTTATTCCAAAAATGGCAATGTGAACTGTTTTTTTTATGTAAAGTAATTATAAATCATATATAGTCTTTTAACACGAACAAAAGCTTAGAATTTTCTGAGCTTTTTCACAGGCGATTAATAGAAGCACTCAACAATGTGTCAACTGGAGTGCAAGCAGAGCTGGGCAACTCCGGCTAGGTACAACTCCAACTCCGCTAAGCAATCTAAACTCCAACTTCAACTCCCTGGGACTCAACGCCAACTCCGCTTCAACTCCGAGTTGAAATCTATTTGTTCTTTTTCCTTCCTGTTTTTTAATTTGTCCGTATAACGCCCAGGTCAACGGTCGCGACTAACTCGCGGCGCGATCGCGTTGTCACGCTAGCGATCGCTATTATCTCGCGCTTTCGCAGAGAGATCGCTATAAAGTCGCGGTGCGATCTCGGTAAAATCGTATTTTTTTAAGAAAGTATTTTGTGAGACTCGCGAAGCGAATTAAAACTCGCGGCGTGATCGCTGATGTCTCGCTATTACGCGATGCGATCGCTAAAAGCTCGCGTTATCGCGACGTGACTCGCGCTATTTGCGAGTTTCAATAGCAAAATGCTCCCAAGTCCACTTTCGAGACTGATTCGCGGCGCGATCACGCTTAAATCTTATATTCGTGTCGCGATCGCTATAATGTCGCGAAGTCTAAATAGTTAGTAATTTTTTTGAATTGCAAGAACGCAAAAGAATTCTTTTTCTCTTATTTCAAAGTGAGAATTTATATTTCTTATAGACTACAAATAGATAGTCCATTCTGTTTATAACACAAATAGTATACTATGTGTCTATGGACACGTGTGTGATTGAAGATACGTGGTTTTGTTATTCTCATTTTAAATGCGATATGCAAAAAAAGTCAGTGTCCGTTATGTACAAGACACTTCATATTTCTTAACGTAGTATGCAGACTATTACTCGATTTAACGAATAAAACTCGAATTTTTTGCACTTTATATCTGTTTTTTTCACTTTTTCAAAAAATAAATAATATACAAAGTTAGTACACAGCAATTTCAACGAACGAAATAGCATGGAAACAAATCCTTTCCACTTTTGTTGTCACAAAGTTGAAAAAAGTGAAATCGTTTTGTTTAACTATTTTGAATACCAAAACGGGGTGCTCTTTTTCACAAAATGTGTGAAATCTAGGGATTTCTACTATGTACAACTTCGTTAAATATATTAACTTCGCGAGGTCTCAAAATAAAAATGCACCAAAATGAGAAAAGCACCAAAGGTTGATGTCATCGCAATCGTGAGTATCCTCGGTGTAAGATCGTTTTGTCGTTTATTGACTTTCAGGATGTAGGGAGTATTAGTTCGGTCCTGTTTGACACACAGAGGCTTGGGACTAAGCAATTCCGCCTCATTCACAGGATGCTAGACTGGCTCTAGCAACGAACGGATATTAGCGTCTAGTATTCAAGGAT